TTACATTTATAACTTCTCAGGGTGATTTACGTATCTTAAATCTTCCTTCCCTATTGTCTCAGACTAATTTTTTTTTATATTTCTAATACGTAAAATATCTCCCCCAACCATCTAAAATTAACCGTTCAGTTGTCAAATTAAGAGCATCGAGAAACATTCTTGAATAAATAGAAAAAAAGTCCAAAGTGTTATTTTATATTCATGATACTCCAAACCCACAGGGATCATTCAGTAACACCATTAACAGCATCACCAGTACGATCAGCAGCGCGACTACCAGCAGCACCAGTACCAGTGAAATGCAGGGGCACAAGTGCACCAAGCGATAGCTCAATAAGTGTGAGAGGATCAAGATTTTTCAATACCCTTCCTTCATCAGGGAAATTAGCAGAAGACCCCTGGCTGTCTTCATGAGGGAACTTTATAAGTTCCTTCAGGTGAGTTCCTGACTAGCCGGGCTGTGGTGTCTACTAGATTGAATGTGACCACCACCAACACCCTGACTGATCACGCTGTCAAATGGGTGGCCCGATCTGGAACAGAGACGGGGCTAGGTGGATAACCCAGAACTATCAGCTGGTTAAACCACTACCACCAGCAATATGCCATCACCATAACCACAGCATCAAACCACAATTAGTAACATCACAACTAGTAGCAGCGTAACCACCATCATCATTAACTACTACTATACAAGCAACAGCATCACCACTACCACCAGACACAGCATCACCCTATCATAACCAGCAGTACTAGCAGCATCACCACCACACCTACCACCAGCACAAGCAGCAACACTAGCATCAAGCTAGTAACAACAACAACAGTACCATCACCTGCAGAAAATGCAACACCACCACCATCACTACTCATAACCACCACTACACCACAACCACTAACTACTGTCACTACCCACAACCACTATGACTACCCCGCCACCAAGTGTCCCAGGCCGCCACCACACTGACGCATTTCTCTGCGCCATGATCACATTCCCACCACGAATTGTGACTTGACATCTCGCTCGACGCCAGACGGGCCGCAACAATTTCTCAAGAGAGTTAGAAGTTGAGAGCTTGAGGTGCAGGAGCAAGGCAGCAAGACGAATGGGGGACCTGACTCCTGGATAAACCAATACATGGTCCATCCGTTTCTTTTTTTTTTTTTAAGCTCCGTTGAGAGCAGCGCTGGTTCCAGTGCCCAGTGTATGTTGGATTTGCGTGAAGAATATGTATGGTGCAAGCTGAATGGATAATGCTGAGAGAGGCAGAGAAGCGTAGAGAAGTAGATAGTGGTAGAAAGCAGCAGCAGAGGGTAGAGAAAGATAGACAAAAAGGAGATGAAAGCAAGGCAGAAATGGGTGAAGAGAGGCAAATATGGATAGAAAGGCAAAGAGTAGTAGTAAGAAGTAAAGAGAGGCAGAGAGGTAGAAAGAGGAAGAAAGACGAAGTGAGACAGATGTAGAGAGGAAGAGAGAAAAAGACGGGATAGAGAGAGGGAGGGGGGAATGAGCGGAAGATACGACTGTGGAAAAGAGAATTGGAGGAGATAAAGGAAAGAAGGGAAGAGACAGAGGGAATAGAAGAGGGAAGATAAAGAACAGAGTGAGAGCGAAAAGAATTAAGAGAAAGGCCGATAATTTTTTTCAGTTTCAGAAAGTTAAAATTGGAAACGCAATTAAACGCCAGATTTGAGGATTTTTATGTATTGACTCGTTTTAAATTTTGTTTAATTATAGATTCCAGAGAGAGAGACTCTTTCTATAGTTTGAGTAAACGAGTTCGACTCTAAAGTAGCTGAATGACTAAAGTTTTAATGGTTGAATGACTGATGTTGCCAGGGCTACGACTTAAGTGGCCGGATGAATGACTGGCTATCGGGTGGCTGAATGACTATGCTTTAACTTCATGAATGGAGAACCGTGACTTACGAGGCTGAGAAACCGACAGTGACTTGACTGACTCGAGTCGCAAAATAAAACCTCTTTGTAGCTGCCATCTTCACTTGTTGGCAATGCTGAAAATTTACGTGATACTTTTCAGAAGACAGCGGCAAATATGAGAGCACAAATACCTGTGACGTTCTGCTCTGCGTAGAGATTTATGAAAGCGTGCAACTGTCCTATAATACCTTGTTCTGCATCCAGTGTCGTCCTGCTGGTGGGTGATACCTGCCATCCCAATTTTTTTCCTGGATAAAGATTGTACAAGACTAGTTCCTGCGACACAACATAAGCTTCAGTTTCGAATGTTTGAGACAAACATTCGAATATATTTTTGTCCAAGAGAAGAATGAACCTAGAGCGCTGGTTTGCTCTCCGGGCTGTGTATGAAGACAACTCAAGACAACGATTTCTTTAGGGGTTATTCAAATGCTGTATTATTGCAGAAGTTGAAGCAGTTTTGAATGACGAGGATAGACAAGAGTTCAGATATTGAATACCACGACTGGAACAATTAACAACAAACCCACAAATTGAAGATGGAAAGCAGACAAGGTTGCTGTCTATCCTAAACATAACTGTCCGGGAATGAGCGAAATTTTGTCTACTTCTCTTAAATAGTTGTCTTGACTAACAAGAATTCAGTGAAAGATTTCAGACTTTTCAAGTCTCAAAATGCTACATCCTCGAGGAGTCGGGTTATACCTGGAGTATACCTGGAGAGGATTTCGAGGGTCAATGCCCCCACGGCCCGGTCTGAAGGGATACTATATAGTTTTTTCTTCTCGGAGCGATTGACCAATGGAATAATGTCAAGGAGCAGCTGTTAAGTGCTATAACAAGAAGCTGGTAAGCGTTATAGCAACAGTATATTCAAAAAATATATATTATAAACAAATCATTGAAGACAGGACATTGCAACACGCACACCACACACACACACACACACACACACACGACCGATGCAACCACAACTAGGGAGTACACAACTATCCAATTAATGGCTTTAGAGTCAGACAACAACAATCACTAGGAATACACAACACATATTACAGTATTAACGCCAACTAAATTCATACACATAAGTAAATCTGTAAAATATACAAAGAAAACATTTTTCATTCTCATGGGAGGGAGAAAGAAAATGTGTCCTGGGAGACGAGCATGGAAGGGAGGATACGTACTTGCCATAAGACACACGAGAAGACTAATGTGTGCAGGGAAGGACACTTGTGTGCAGACACGTGGAGAGGACACGGGTGAGCAGTTTAACACAGTAATTATACATATAATAATTATAGTTCAATGTAAACGCCAGAGGCAAAATACAAGTGTATCTCCGCCTCCACAAAAAGACTAGAGTAAAAAAATTTTTCACGTTCCTAAGGGCAAAATCCATTGAGGTCATGTAGATCCTGGGGGAGATCATAGCTCCAACTCCTTGAATCAAGGGCCTGCATCAAGGCAATCTCGACCCCCTCCCCCATCATTCCTCTTTGAAGGGACTTCAGAGAGAAGTACCAGAGATACTCTAACGAGAGTAACATTCAGTAATCATGAAACCCCTATTGTTAACGAAACATACATCTCTGATCAAGATTACCAGAGGTATTAGCCGACATAATTCATTGACAATACATTTGTGCAACGCTCAGGGGAATTAGTCTTTAATATAAGCTTAAAAATGCATCATACGCAGTCAGAATTAGAGTATAATCGTTACCTCTAACAGGTAAAGCGGAACTACCCGTTAGGTGAGTAGTCAGTGTGTATCCCGAGTTCATATCTTCCCGATTAGAATAATTTTAGGTTTTAATTTAGTTTAGGCTCGTTTCCAAAACGAAGAAATGGAAGATTTTTCACATCTTGCGGTGAAAATTTGGGGGAAGTTTTAAAAATATACAAAAGTTTGTTAGATCATTCAGCTTATACCGATTTAAGTAACGCATTATATAATGTGGTCACTGGTTGCGAGGTGAGCCGGTGGAAGGGCTCCGTCAAATGACAGACTTCCAGTAAGCAGGTCATCATAAAAACACTTCAAATCACGGGACGCTGGGGTTCGAACATGGAAGGCGAGTCTTAAAACTGTTCTACAACCCGTTCTGTGATTTGTCTGACATCGTGTTATTATGATTTCACGAGTCACTAAGAATCTTATCAGGAATTATTGGTTCCCTGAGAGTAAAATGTATCCAGCTACATGTACTCCGGCAGAAGCAGAAACGGTCACCCCTAACAAGAGCACGAACCAGCTCAGTCCTATTTCATTAGGTTAAAACCATCTCGACTCAATCATGAAGCGTTAGGTCCGTAACGATCTTACAGCTCCTGGTAAATGGGAGGTAATCAGGTTTGCCTCGAGTAAGGGACAGCAGCTCCAGTTCTCAATCAAAAAAACCCCCCACCATCAAGCCAGACACAGGCAAACACAGGCAGACAGACAGACACACACACATATATATACAGCAGGCCTAGCACATAATGGTAACACACACATACGACATATACCTAGCACATAATGGTAACACACACACGAGGGCCAGGAGCTGTGGATGACCCCTGCAACCACATATAGGCGAGTACATACATACAAAGTGCAAGCGTCTTGCAGAGTCATTATGTGTTGCTACTTACGACTCATTATGTATCCGTATATTTAATTCAGTAATGCTATGTATGAGATTTTCATGTATTTATGTACCACACTTAGGTATCCTACATTCTCTCGTTATGTATCTATTGACCGTTTCGTCTTATTGCATCAGGGAAAAAGCGTCAAACTCACGGGGAACACGCATCGCCTGGGCAATGGAAAGCGATCAGTTCGATGCATGAATGGGAGGGCAAGTCCAATTCGTTGGATCAAGAGCCCGTTACTAGCATCAAGGAACGTCCCTCGGCTAGGTTTACCGAGAAAGGCAATTTGAGAGCATGATGAACCTATCCCGGGGAGGAACCTGCAAGTTCAACTTGGAAATTACTCAGCTAAGGCTGGTCGTAGAACCAGCTGACACTGCCACTCAGAATAATAAAGAACGACAGTGGTTCTACTCACATTTGCTGATCAGGTTCTGGTCTGCTGGTGTTCAAGGCGTTAAATATTATTACACACCCACACTGCAAACAAAAAAATAAAGTTTTATTAATAACGTGTATTCGTAAATGAAATTTTATTTTACAGATGCACATCTCAGCGTTACCGTGTTCCTGCGCAACTGCGCAACCACCACTCTCAGCGCCGCGCTCATTAAACATTAAGGCGGCGCAAATTCTCACTGACCGCAAGTTTAGTCGAGTCAGTGACTTTACATTCTGATAGTTTAACTACTCATTGCTCTTTATTCACTTTAATTCGTACACAACTATGGTGGAGAGTAACTACCATAATGATATATAAATTGCTAGTTGCTACTGTGAGCGCACAGGCGCCCATAACTACCATACTCACGCATACACAACATGCATTCTACAGTTATAAAATACGTGAACATTATATTCAGTAATTTCATTGTTTCCTTAGCATTGACTTCAAACTCGCATTAGAAATAATAAAATAATAATTATTATTAATCATTGTCAATCATCAAAATGTGCATTAAATCCCTAAGGATCACGCTGCGCCTCATTATCAGAGAAAAACGTCAGGTATTCTGTAGTAATCCATAACAAAAAATCACGAGATTGTCACGTGAAAATAACTTTTGTTTACTGGGTTTACTGGAAACTGAATTGATTTATAACTCTTATGCTAAATAATGAAAAAAAAAAACCACTTCATAGCTTTTACCCAACCTTTCTGAGGTTTATTGTTATTTATAATAGTGAATTATGCAGTCGTATGCTGATTCGTTCAGTTGTACACCGTATCATACAGTCGTAAACTGCCTGAGAGATAAAGACAATTAAAAAGATCCAGGAAAAAGAGTAACAAACTCCTAGGATCAAGAGCCACTGATCGTCAAGGCGTTCCCCCTGAAGGGCGAGACCCCCCCCCCTCATTATAATAAACGAATAACCTAATAGTTACATCAACATCCACGTTACACTTACCGAAGTGTTTATGTAGATTCCGAAGCAATGGAGATTTTACCCCATAACATGTATGCTCAACATTCTTGGTCACTACACATCTTTTCTATCACTTAGATTAGGGTAAATATCCAGCGCCTATATATTTTCGTTCTGAGATATAGCGCTGCCGTTTTCTCAACTTGTGCTAAACGTTTTAATGTATAATCACACTCGTGGCCACCGCAGGAACCAGATTACACTTAGGAAAGTAATGGCCAATGATTACCTGTTGACTAAACATGCTGGTGTCTCCAGACTGGACATCACTGGTACACTGGTTAGATTTAGAGGCTACAAACTACTCGAGGTCATTAACTGCACTCTGCCTGTTCTCCAGCAAAGAATACTTTAATCCACTAAACAGGAGTAAACCTTACACATTTCGGTTTATTCTAACAGATATGTACAACGTTCAGTATGCAGTAAGATCACAGTAAACAAGTTATATCAATATGCAAAATAAATAGAGTGAAAAATACTGAAACTCGGAGCAAATTTCTTAATTTCTCACATTATCAAGGAATAATTTGAGAAATGACAAGTTGAGAAATCACGAAGGCGCTTAGAATTTAATTATTTTTCTCTGTGGTATTTTGCATGATGCGATGTCACCTATTCGCGTATATTGGCTGTGTTATTTAAGAGCGTGCGTTTGTCCGGGTAGATACCACCACCACAGTATTCAACTCGTTCATTTACTGTCCAGAAGCGAAGCGACGCTTCGACCTTCTGACGCGACAGTTTAGTCTGTACCTCCTCTTTTAATGTTTCGTTATAACCATAGGGAAGTGCTCAACATGTATAGGACATGTAGATGAATGGTTCACAGAACCAACACGTTGATAAATTAGACACACGTGCAACTCTTGGGTATCTTAATTAAGGAAACGTTTCTCCACACAGTGGCTTCATCAGTCCATACACAGGAGAAACTTGAAGAACAGGAGGAGAATGAGGTAATCAGTCCTTCAACCTTGAGTCGATGTGGTCAGTCCATCAATCATTCTCCTCCTGTTCTTCAAGTTTCTCCTGTGTATGGACTGATGAAGCCACTGTGTGGCAAAACGTTTCCTTAATAAAGATACCCAAGAGTTGCACATGTGTCTAATTTATCAATGTATAGGACATACAGCGCCTGGGGAATGAGACGTAATCAGGTTTGATGAAAAGGGGACGGTAGCTCCAATTCCACAGATGAAAACACCTTCACTAGTATCAAAGAGGCCCCATTCGAGTCATTTTCTGTCTCCTTGATGATAAATTATTTCACAACACATTTGTCTATTAGTGACAGGGTAATTTTTTTTTTTTAGGTGGAATCTAAGATTATGTACGTACATCTGAAAAATGTATACGTACCTGAGAGACTAATGCTGTGAACGTATATCTGAGACACATTAATGCTGTGTACGTATATATGCTGTATACGTATATATACTGCTGCTGCAACAGCAGATCCATGAGAGAGAGCGCTAAGCCCGCAGAGGTCATATATCACCTGAGGAATGATTATCAATCAGATATAATATGAAGACGTGGAGAAAGGCTCTAATTCCTTGTCTTATTGGAAATAATAATAATAATAATAATAATAATAATAATAATAATAATAATAATAATAATAATAATACTTTTATTATTTTAAAAGGGGTGGACCAATAAGCCAGTGGAAGGCCTCGGTCAGATTATCAAAAGCAACAGCGGCGGGTTATCACAAGAAGAGCCGCGTCACGAAACAATTGTTTCCTGGCAAATCTTCCCTAACCTAACCTTCAGATGGGGTGACTCGATTCTTTCATTCAATAATGTATAGACAACGAACTGTCAGTTTTTTTCAACGATGACTCGCATAGATTTTGAAAATTCATCATGCCTATTTCAACAAGAAACTTGACATTAACATTCTCCCCGGGGGATTAATCTACATAATTTGGAAGGATAACTTATTTTTTCTTGAGGATTTTTCACCGAGATATATCGTAGAAGTTTAATGCAGATTTATCATGGAAAGGGACATTAAAGTCGTATTTTATAAATTTATTAAAACTGGCCACCGGGATTCACTGTGAAGATTCGTAATGAAAATTCATGATGTGATAAATCTCCAAGAAATTTATCTTAAGGATTTATCATAGGTTAAATTATATATGGTAGTATTCAACAGAAAAACAGCATCACACACACACACATACGATGTGTGTGTGTGTGTGTGTGTGTGTGTGTGTGTGTGTGTGTGTGTGTGTGTGTACGATCACGCTTGTGCGTACATCTGTGAATGCACGTGAGTGCGATATAACATACAATAACAAAAAAAGAAGAAAAAAAGATACAACATTATCTTTCTCAGTAGTTCTCATTTTTAATCCGTATCAAATTTTACATACTCTGCCCCTCGGCACACGACGCTGTCTTCTTCCACAGGACTGAAGTTCGCTGTGCTATCATAGATTCGTGACAAGTCGACCTTGGTAAGTCCTCCAGCCTTCACTTGCTCGTCACAAAGAAGAACAATTATGCTTAATTGAATGGTGCACTTAAGAAGGTCGTATTGAGTTGCAGTTAAGTCAGTTCCTTAGCTTATTTCCTCCTTTTACTAACGACCAGCGTCTGATTTTGTTTCTATTATATATATATTGTATGCAAAACAACCACGGGGAAATAGAATGATAGCTCTAGGCCTTTCGTGTTGCAATCAACAAATCCTCAGGAACTTGCAAAATTGCAGAAAAGAGGAGGGTGTCCAAGCAAATAGCGTTCCCAGAGGACCGCCTGGGGTCCTCTGGGAAGGTTATTCGCTTGGATACCCTCCTCGTTTCTGCAATTTTTCAAGTTCCTGGTTGTTTCGCATCTTGTATAGCTTAGTTTGCGATGTTTATATATATATATATATATATATATATATATATTATATATATATATATATATATATATATATATATATATATATAAAATGTCGTGCCGAATAGGCAGAACTTGCGATCTTGGCTTAAATAGCAACGTTTCATCTTGCCATATAGGACAAGCGAAAATTTGTGTATGCAATAATTTCGCCAAATCATTCTGAACCTAACGAAAAAAATATATTTCACTGTGTTTGTGAAATACACATACACAAAACACACACACACACATACACACACACACACACTTTAATAACGATAACACCAAGGTTGATAACTTTGTGAAGATGTTTCGGGCGAATTCATTTCGTTATCATCATTGCAACACGAGCACAAAGTATTCTAAACAAATTATATATATGAAAGTTGTATTTGATTTCAAGCAATAAAGTTCTGAAATATAATGAAAAGTAAACCATACCCCCGGCCGGGATTGAACCCGCGGTCATAGAGTCTCAAAACTCCAGCCCGTCGCGCTAGCCACTAGACCAGCTAGTGGCAGCGCGACGGGCTGGAGTTTTGAGACTCTTGACCGCGGGTTCAACCCCGGGCCGGGGGTATGGTTTATTTGCAATCGTGTCATTACGATTTCTTAAGTCATGTTGACGGCAGTGAAGGGACTTGAGCTAGAGTTCGTCACGGCCACGCTAGCTGGAGATTCGCCCTGTAAAAACTTGATTTGTGGTCACAGAGGTGCCTGTGCTAATTTTCCTAGGGTGTAGAAATATACCTAGTTGGATGAATCTTATTGTGGCTAGCTGGTCTAGTGGCTAGCGCGACGGGCTTGGGGTTTTTAGACTCTATGACCGCGGGTTCAATCCCGGGCCCGGGGGGAAAGGTTTATTTGCAATCGTGTCATTACGATTTCTTAGTCATAATGCAAAATATTATACTTTCATTATTTTAGTTGAAAATTAAAATTTCTTTAATTAAGCGACGGTGTATTTTCAATATTAATTACCGTAACACCCATTCTTTATTAGTTTATACAAAAACACCGTTTTTAAATTATATTTCTAAATTTTATTAATTTTTATGCTTGATCTGGTCGGCACATAATCAAGACCAAATTTAACCTGGCCACACAAATTATTTAAAATAATCAAACCTAAGCGCTAAACCCCAAAAGGGCTTACATGTAGCCTT